AATCAAATCTGCCATAATATCCCCCAGATCTTCTTCCTTCTCCTCTATCACATTTTGGAAGCGTAGATAAAATGCCGCCTTATCCATTTCCAAATAAATAATTGCTTCCTCCATTTTTTGGGGGGAGGCTATCATTTCTGTGTCTAATGTATCAACTTTTTTCACAACATTGTCTAACCCCATTTCTACTAATTGAATTATTGCTTCATTTTTTTTCATCGTTTGTTGTATCATTTCAACTCTGTTGTCCAATTTATTTATATCGCCTCTCATTTCCACATGATTTTTCGATATAGTCTCTTGCATTTTTAACATTGTTTCTTGGATACTGAGGAGTGTAGATTGCATAGTTTGCATATTGGCTATTGCATTTTGTTTATCTGTGCCAAACATTCCTTCTATTGATCTTTGGCCAGGTGGGGATGAGGGTGTCAATGTTAAACTCGATACCGTTTTTTTCCCTGTCCTCAATGTTGCCATAATTATTTTACACTTCTCTTCCCTCAACTTCTCTGAACTTTCCTCCACTACCCCAATTACTCCAACCTCTCTCTACCTTCTCAAACTTTCTTCACTTTCTTATTCTTTCTTACTTTTTTAACCAACAAATTTTCCCAATTATACAGTCCTTTTTTATCTCTTCTCAAACCTCATCCACTCTCCTGATACTCCCAGCGTCGTCTTCCGTTGTCTCCTTCCCTTCCGTTCACGCTCGTCTTACTTAAAGCACCGTCCCTGTCAAGCTATAAATCTTTCTCAGCATCAGCCTGTCTTTTTCAGCTTCCTCCTGTCGTTTATTCTCCAATCGTCACTCCGCTCCTTCGCTCCGCTCCTTCGCTCTCGTCTCCTTCCTTGTATCTTTTGAATGGATCTCTCAAGTTCCAGGTTTTCTTTCCAACCTCAGTCCGTTCTTTTCACTTTCCTTTAGTGTCGTATCCTCCCGGTCTCTCTCTCCACCTTCAGATTTTAACAGCAAACCACGCTTTTTCGTGGCTGGGAGCACTTTACTTGAGTTTCCCGATCTTCGCAGCCCTCAGGTTTGTCTCTAGTTTTTCTCCAACCACTTTTAACTGCTGCTGCGTTCTTCTAGATCGCCATTTTCTTTCAACTCTTTCAACTCACAATCTTTTCTATCCAGGTCTCTCAATCCACAAGCTCTACCAACTTCAACTTTATCACGATCTCTCCGCTCCCAGTTTCTTCCTCAAACCTCTCCGTCTTCTGCGCTCACAGATTTAATACACTGTCTTTCTCTGTGTCTACCTTCTGTTATTTAATCTCTCGGTTCTTTAGATCTGTTAACTCACAGCTCCTCCGCCGGGTCGCCGCTTGCGTTGAGGGTTCCCTCTCCGATTGAGCTTCCTCTCAGCGCCCGTCCTAATAGACACTTAAATCTTATTAGACTCTCCTCATATTCTTTAGTATTAGGAATAATATAGGCTATTACAGCTTACTACTTGGCACCGTCTGTTAGAATTCTTGCTTCCGCATCATCTGTGGCTTTATCAGGGCCTCAGATCCGCCATCAGCTGCTGGCAGAAGTTTCCACATTGAAATTAGGAGGTTTCCTTCGTCCTAACGGGCGATCGCCTTTCGCCTCGTTATTCCTCCGGCATCCCCCTTTCTCACGCGTTGTCCTCCAGACTTCCCCGCGCCCCCAAAGGGTCTCCAAACGTGGAAAGATCGGAGTTAGATGACAGAGCCTGTCTCCTTAACTCCGCACCGCCCTGATGCCACCACCGGAAGTCCAACCTAGCTCTTTTCATTGGTTTTTGAATCAAGGTATTCTATGTTCTAAAAATGGTTAACTCGGTAACCAAGCACAATTTTTGTAGGAATGCTGTTTCTCTTCGGTCCCTCCCTTCATATTTTCTATAATATTAGCCCAACCTACCTGGTACTACATCCAAATCTCTTGCCCCATAATTCCCACACACTTAGAAACAAAAAAGTTAGTTTGTTCTTGGGTTTTTTTTGTTTTGACATTTTCATTACTTTCTCCTCTGTGATTAAACTGTTTATGCTCTTTTACATAACTTGAAGTCAGTTCCTAAATTTGTAGGTCCAAAATGCATTACTGCAAGCAATTTATAGTAATTCGGCCTCCAGTTCTAACCTTCTACCATTTTCCTTTTCTCCTGCCCTCTTTTCAGATGTCCTATAATGCTGGTGGTGGGAGACCAGGCTCCACATGAAGATGCTGTGGTAAGTGATGAGGACCTTTCTTTTTTTAAAAGCTTCACAACCTAGAAGCAAAATGTGTTATTTCTTACCTTGTGTTTATTTTAGATTCATGCTATCTGCCTTTCTTCTCTTTCCAGGTGGAGTGCAATTCCAAACTGGATCCCACCCAGACCTCTTTCCTCAAGGTAAGCTATGCATTTCAGATATATCCAAATACCAACTTGCAAAACTCTTTCCAGGATTATATTGAGCTAACCTGAAGAGTTCCCATCCCTGCAATTATGTAGGGTGGTAAAACTGGCAAAAGGGGTGAAACTAGGTAGCCTATTTCAATTACCATTTTGCTTATGGTGCTTCTAACCTTGATCATCACAGATTATTTTTCTTTCTCTAATTTTTTTTTGGGGGGGAAAGCAAAAAGTAGCAACTTTCCAACTAATTTTGAGCTACCAAAAGATGAGCATTCCCAATTTGACTGTGGCATCCAAGATCATATGCTGTTATCCTATAGGGGAGCTGCAGACCAAGTCAACAGTCTTGTGTAAACACATACTATCACACATTTCCCCAACATGGAATAGCTCCCAGACCTTTCAATCATCATCATCAGATCATCATGTTGGAAAGAGTTACCCTTCTTTAGGCAAGTGTGCTTATTTAAGTTTCTCTTTCTTCTCTTGCAGATGGCTGATTCAGGAGGACAACCACAGCTGACACAGGTAAAATATACTAATAACCTGATACTCAGATTCAGAAACAGAATTAATTTTGCATTTCAAAATATTTTAAAAAGCAATGATTTTTTCTTAATATATCATTCCTCCTATTGAGTATTTCAAAACATATTTTAATATGATTGCATTTGTCATATGCTTACATACGATTGCAGACTTGTAGTATATTCAGTCAATCCTGTTTTCCATATACCATAGACCAGTGGTGGAGAATGTATGGCATGCATGCCAGAGGTGGCATGCAGAGCCCTCTCTCTGGACAGGCACGCCGTCGCCCCAGCACAGAGTTCGCCAGAGTAGCTTCCGCCTTTACTTTTCCTGTTTCCAGTCTTGCCCTCCTTCAGCGGTAGCGAGGCCTATGGGGCGATGGCAGCTGTACGGGGCCTCCATATTTCGGTGAAGGCGACCGAGCCGGAGCCCATCGAAGTGGAAGAGGGAGAGCTGTTTCTTTAGACTGGAGCCCTTGCTACCCCCTCGCCTGTGCTATGGCATCAGCAGAGGAACTAGCCATACCGGTGGGGCACTCACTGAGGGAGCTGGTGGTGGTAATGGAGCTGGTGAAACGGACCGTGTGGGGGGGAGCTGCCCGTGCTGCTGCCACGAGGCAAAGCCAGTGGGGGAAGGGGGATCGGACCCATGTGCCCCGCTTCCTGGTATCCTGCCGCAGCCGTGATGCGTTGCCAAAATCGGCTGCAGCACCAGTGGGGCGGTGTGAGAGGCTGCAGCAGGATACCGGGAAGTGGGCATGTGGGTACAATCCCCTTTCCCCACCAGCTTCGCCTCGTGGCAGCAGCACTGGCAGCTGCCCTTCAACCCAGCCTGTTTCCCTGGCTCCGTTACAAGCAGCAGCTCCCTCGAGTGGCACTCTACACAGCTGGTCAGTGTATCTGCTTTTACTTTTGCTGTTTCCAGTCTTGCCCTCCTTCGGTGGTAGTGGGGCCTGTAGGGCGATGGCGACTGTACGGGGCCTCTGTATTTCGGTGAAGGCGACTGAGCCGGAGCTCGCTGAGGGAACTGCTGCTGCTAACGGAGCCGGGGAAACAGGCCGGGGGGGGAAGCTGCCCGTGCTGCTGCCACAAGGTGAAGCCGGTGGGAGAAGGGGGATTGGACCCATGTGCCCCGCTTCCTGGTATCCTGCCGCAGCCGTGATGCGGCAGCGTTGCCGAAATGGGCTACAGCACTAGTGGGGCGGCATGAGAGGCTGCAGCAGGATACTGGGAAGTGGGCACGTAGGTCCAATCTCCTTTCACCTCGTGGCAGCAGCACTGGCAGCTCCCCCACCCCACCCAGCCTGTTTCCCTCACCCCACCCCAGCAGATGGAGATGGCGGTGAGGGGCTGGGGGCGCGTGGGGGACGATGCGAAGCGGCAGTTGTGAGGGGTGTGTGCACGCCAGAGCCTGCCAGAGCCCCCACCAGTGCGAGGATGGGCGGCACAGCTTCACTTCCAGAGCTGCTGCCAGCCAGGCCTGGCGATGCAGGGATCACCGCCGCCACCACCTCCTGCCCAGCCTGCCGCGTAATAAAGCAGGCAGAACCGCAACCGTCCCTCTCTTCAACCAGCTGCTTGCTAACTCGCCGAGGTCCCACACGGCCGGATGCATCCCAGCATGGTTGGTTTCCCTCCTCCCTATCCCGCCCCTCCTGGCCTCGCATGCTCTCCTTTTCCTGGGCACGACCCACTGCATCACCTCCTCAGCTTTCGGCCGGCCGTCCAGCTCAGAGGTGGCTTCTCTGAACTGCTGGAGGTGGGCGAGGCGGGGCTGCTTTTTGTCTTCTCCTCAGGACAGCTTTGGCAGATCCCCCCTCACCTGCCCACCCACCCTCTTCCCTTTCACTCCGCTTCCGAGCCCTCTTCGCAGCTCTGCCCACACAGCCACCAGAGCGGTAGGTGGAGCGCTTCTGCTGCTGTGGAGATGGAGAGATTGCCCCACCCACCACTGCCCTGATGCCCTTGCTTCCCAAACCATTTCTTTTCTGACCTTCTTTCTTCATCACGCACCTTCCCCCTCCCGTACTCTGCCTGTTGCTGGAGGGCTGGCCCGGTATTCACAGTGGGCTGCAGAGCCCTAGAGTGCACCGGTCGAGGGGCTGGCAGGCTGTGGCTGCTGACAGACACCATCGGCCCCCATGCGCTCGCTGGCCTCTGTGTGCAGGGGCCGATGGTGTCAAGGCGACCCCTGCCTCACCTTGTCTTGCCCCGTGGCAATGGCACCCCCAGCCTGCCCCCTGCCTCGCCTCACCCCGCAGGACGAGCCTCCTGCCCACCGCCCCACCTGCCAGAGACCCCCTGGATCTCCCCCAACCCTGCCCAGCCCCCACAGGCGTCCCCACGAGCAACATTGAGGTGGCCACACCCACCCAGTCTGCCGTGACCACTGCAGCCACGCCCACCCAGTGGGCCACACCCACCCAGCACCCGGCAATAAATACGTGGCTTTTGGGTTGCAGTTTGGGCACTCGGTCTCTGAAAGGTTCGCCATCACTGCCATAGACTGTCTTTGTGCAAATCAACAAATCACATTCCATTGGAGATCTGTACACAGAAAAATGAATTGAAGTGTGATTGTTATCAATGCAGAAACATTGAATTATAAACTAATCCAAAGGGCTAGTTCATACAGTGCAGTAGGCTGAAATATAGTTGACTAGTTCTTATCTTAGTTTGCAATTCAGTAGAGCTTATAATACCTTTTCTGAGAGACAGGAAGAAATAGTAGGTAATTGCTAAGATGTTCTACACACACCAAATACAATCTCATTAAACAAGGTGTTCATTTTTGGTTAGAGAAATAAAGTCTCCTTCTCTGCTCTGTTCCAACCAATGTAGTCATACAAACATATGTCTGCAGAGGGAAAAGGGCCTTGTTGAAATGGAGAAGTAGACAAGGAACCCGTAGGCATTTCTGAACAAGTACTGCATGCCAGTTTGAAAACATCAGACATTCTCACATCAGCAACATTGGAGTTCTGAGCTGATTGATTTCCAATGAAGTTCTGTAATGTAGTTGAAACCACTATGATGCTAGTGGCTATATTTCTCCACTGAGGGGACATTTGCTCCCTTTCTTTTGGATCTGGAGTTTCAGATCTTTTATGAGAAAGGTGAGCTGGATAGTTTTGCAGTTATCTGTCAGAAGTCCGGTTTAAAAAAAGCAGAAGAGAAATCCAGAAGAGTGTTTGACAGTTTTCTTCTAATCTTCAGCCCTGGATTAGCCCTCTTCTAAAGCCCCAGGATCCTAGGTTTGTTTTTGTTTTTCTGTTCTTTTGTGAAAAGAAATAGAGATTTTTGTAGCTGTAGAACTTGCATGGCATGAGTTTCACTTCTCATTCTTGGCATTTCAAATCAGCAAAGGTAAAGAAAAATCACAGACTACCTCCCAACATTTTTGAGAGTTTGGGGAGTGGAGTGGAATTGTCGCAATAGATCATCTCCCATAGTGTGAAGACATCAGAATTTGTTTTAATGAATTTCATAAAAAGAATTTTGAAGGGGTTCCATGTCAGATGTTTTTCTAATCTTTGGTTTCCTCTCTCCACAAATGTACTCAATGAGCTATAATTTGGAAGCAAGGAAGCAAGTAATTGAACCTTTAGGGTTTTCTGTCCCTTTTCTGTCTCTTTCCATATATGCATTTTTTAAATGTTTTTCTCTGCTCCTTTTCTATCTTTCAGCCTGGGAAACTGACAGAGGCATTCAAATACTTTGTGCAAGGAATGGGTTACAGTAAGTATTGGATCTGAGGACCTCTGTCCCATTGTGCACCCCCAAAGTTCATAGGTTATTGGGCTGCAAAACCTTGTGTTTCATCTAGCCAAGAGCAGAGGCATTCCTGACAAGATATTTTTGTACCCTAGACTGCATTCACAAAGCACACCAAGTCGTAGTTTATTTAGATGTAGTCTAATAAATAAACCAGAGTTGTATAAACTTGCATAACATATGAGGTTACAAATAAAGGTGGCTGAGATTACAAACTAAACTAGGACAAAGAAGATATTGTGACTTGGGATATTACAGGGACCCACCATAATTCTGTTATTTGATTCCTGGGACTACCTATTTCTTCTCCAGTTTGGCTCCTTGCACCCAAAATAATGTTTCCAGATAATTGAGATTGTTTAGAAGTTCTCATTTTATATGACTCCTGCTCCCCCAATCCCCTCTTTCCTCTCCACTTGTACATCCACCTTCTTTCCATGGCTATTTAGAGCTCAGTTAGAGCAGCCTATCAGCTTAGCCCTTGAACAACAGCCACTGTGGAACATTCATTCCAAGTACAAGTTCTTGATCAGTTTAGCCTAAGGATATCCTTTCCTGTTTCTCCTCAGTCCCTCATGTACTGGACAAGAAACTGAGTCAGGGGTCAGGTACCTTCTGTGGTATTTCTCCCTCATCTCCCATAATTCTCTCCTCCCAACATGTCTGCTCACCCTTCCTCTGGTTACTTCACTCCCCAACGCACAATCTCCCCCTTCCATTAGAGAACACTGAGTTGTTTGCTGTGGTAGTAGGAAAGCAGAAGCAGACATTATTTCATTTGGATTTCTGTTGTGTGCCCAAATGGGGATGGTCTTTGGTACACTATTATACAAGGATTGCCAGCAATCCTGCATTGTGGTTTGATTTCAAAATAAGACCACTCACTTGATTAACCTTTTTTATGCCGATGTACTAATTGTCTGCAAATGACCTGTTGCACTCCATACTTTTAAGGCTGTGTTAAATATTGGGGGAGGCAGGGGCTGACGGTATGCAACTCCATTGTTTGGGACCAAGTCAAGATGGGGATAAGTGCCAACTGTGAAGAAGAGAATGTACAGGCTGTCAATAGAAAACATTTGAAAATAACCTGCAAGGTGTACATGCTTTCTACCCTAGGAAGATTAGAATTTTTCTCCTTGATTTTTCTCTTGTACCAGATAGGCTTCTCTTGAGAGATGCTTCCTTTTCTAGGTTCTAAGCAACCCTCACGTCCCCTTACTTGTTCTCTAGATCTTAGAGAGCGTCAAATTTGCAAGGAATTGAGTTGGGCAATTTTAGATCATTCCCTGATTGTTGCTGGTGACTTCTTTACTATGCTCACTCCTTCTCACACAAGTGCCACTCACTCCATCATTGGCTCAATTCAGAACAAGGTCTTGATAATTGCAGTTAGGATGAGGATAAGCCTTTTATAATATGCAAACATTTTATCTAACTTTGCTTCCCCCTCATTTTTTTCCTCTCCACAGTGGCTTCGTCCTGCATGACGCGCCTGTCTCGCTCCCGCACCGCCTCTCTGTCCAGCGCCACCTCGGGGGACGGGAATCGTTCCCGATCTCGCACCCTGTCCCAGAGCAGCGAGGCAGGAGCCCCCCAGCCACCTGTCCCCACCATGGAGGTGTTCTGCTGAGCTCCGGGCCAGGGGATGAGACCGCCTCCCACCTCTGAACAGGACTCCTTCTGCTATCCCACAATGCACTCCGGCCACTGGGCCAGGTGACGATCTCCCCTAACGGTACTAAAAGTCCAAGGAGGCCCAGATGGGATGCAACTTTACTCTTTTTAAAACAAACATTAACTCCCCCAACCTTTAAATCCAGCACATCATACCCACCTTCCTTACCAACCCTGCCTTCCTCTCTCCCGTAACTTAAAACTAGTGTTGTCAGCCTTCGGTATCTTTAATGATCCTCAGTACCTAGAGAGGTATGGATGGAAGACTACACATTTTCTAAACTATCAGATAATCAGCATCTTCTCTGATGTTTCCCTTTGCCCTCCAGTTCTCTTGCACATTTAGCTTCCTTGATATAGGTGATCTGGATTATCATTGGGCTTTGTTTTGTTTTTTCCCCTGTATAATCATAACTAATCCTTGTTCCTCCCCCTAAATTTTGAGCGATATATTCTTGGAGTAGCCAGATGGCAATCTCATTGCCTTGCTAGCTCTCTTTTGTCCCCTCCGGAGTGTACATAGGAGGAAAATAAAAATAAAAAAGCAGGACCTCACAAGTGAGACGCACAAGCCCCAGTAAGGACTTGCTACTGTCATGCTAACCTAGTGCTCCCAAATGGGAGTTGCTGTTCCTCCACCTAACTCATTTCTTCCTTTGTACTTGTCTGGCTTGGTCTCATCTCTCCTGATTCCATCCGTCTAAATGGTCTTTGAGGTTCTGGTTCCTTCCATGGGCTTAAATGTGTTTTTGTTTTCATTCACCTTTTAAAATAAAGCTAGACTCTTCATTCCCTTCCCCTCCTCTATGATCTCTCTTGGTTTTTATTTTATAGCTTTCCTTCCTCCTGTGCATATACTCTTCCCTCGTCAAAGGCTACATTTCCTCTTTGTCCTCCTTCCCTTCCACTTTCATAGATGGTAGCTGCTTTGTGGTGTGCATGCACAGTTCCTGCTAAGACAGCAACTGTTTTCTGCAATTGAGGCATTGGGAGGCTGGGCAAGATTGAAATGGGGGACACTGGGGAGGGTGGGATTGTTCCTTTTGGAAAATGCTGGGGGCAGATGGAAGCTTGAGAGGGCAGAGGGAAGCTTGAGACAGATTGCACTGTTGCAACTGTGCCAGGCACAAATGACAATAGCCAATGCATCTGTGGTTTCATAGAAGAAGATGAAAGCAGGAGATTCCAACCTTCATTGGCTGTGATTTTTTTTCTTTTTCTTTGCACCAAGCGCTGATTTAGTGGGTTCTGGCTGTTGGCTTTGAGCAGGGCTCTTGTAGTGCCATGGAGGAGGAACTCTGTAATCAGATTCTGACTGTATCAGTTCTTTGATTGTTACCGGCTGTATTAAAGACCTAAATGCTTAGATGATGTTCGCCATGTTGATCTCACAAAATAAGGAATGCATGATGTTTTAAGGGGTCAAACCTCTAACGTTGGACCATCTGTTGAAGGCGGGGGTATCAGTATGTAAGGTTTTGAGTGGTATACAGTCCGAATAGGGCCATAAGGCCTCCAGTGGAACCAGAAAGGTATTGGTCCAACTAGAACATATCTTACTTATTCCCTAACCTGAACAGGCACTGGGAGTTAATTGCTCAGTTGCCTATAAAAAGGGGCATTGTTTGAAAAGGACTCCAGCTGGAGTTTTAACTCCCACATGTAATGGGATCCTTGTATTTGAGAATGTGTGGGCTCTGCTTTATTTTTCCCAGAGCAGTCAATGGTGAATCCCTACTCTTAACAATAAAAATCTCTAGAGGAATCAGTTTTTGCTTCTTTTCTTATGATAGATATATAGTCCACGCATGCAGGTCACAGGCTATAACAGCTTCTGTTTAACAGGGAAGATCACCAAAGACTGCCATAAAAATCAAAGAAACAAGGGAGTCAGGCTGGGTGGGTATCAAATCAGCATTCAGTATCAATAGAAGAGAATATAAGTAGTTTAGGGTTGAACGGTGGAGTCCTTGATGCTCTCTGAGTTGGTTGTTTGCTTGCAGATGTTTTGCTACCTGACTAGGATAACAAAACAAGTTCAGACAGCACCAGACTCCACAGCATTCAGCATTTTAGGAATGGACAATTCAGATGCCTCCAGGAAATTCACAATAAGCAAGATTGAGCCTCCTCAGTGAACTCTACACCAAAATGAAGCCATGGGAAACAAGAAGGAATCACTGTGGCAAGAGTTGGAAAATATTTTTATAGATTAAGTGAGGAGGCAGCTTCTTCCCCTCTCCAAAAAAACACCCCTCTGTCCTACAAGAATTGAGGATGCTTAGTTTACTGAAAGATGTCCAGCAGAAAAGAGAAGCAAATAATGGAGCTCCTTACGGATTAAAACTGGAGACACAGATTTAAGCTGTGGTTTGCTTATATGCTTAATCCATATTTGGTTTGAGTTCATGAGACACATTCAGCTATAAATAAATGTTTACAAATCACAGTGATTACAGTCACCCATCACCCCAAGTCAAAACCAGACAAATCACGTAACATATGTGAATCTAATGGCCATGGAGATGTTAGGAAGAGTTGGCTAACCTTTTCTTGCAGGTAATATTTTATAGTTAAAGGATACTCACATACAAGTTTAATAATGTATGGAAAGTAGGTACATTACTGCTGATGAGCTGAGGCTGAAAGATGTTCTCATGCCTATAGATGCCCAGTAAATTGGCAGCAAAGATGAGCGTTGAACTGCCCTAATCATGACATTCTAACAGATGCAGCTTCCCTAACTTTTTGCTCCAGCAATCTTGGCTTCAAGATTCTGCAATAAAAAAAAATCCTTTGGTTGTGGGCCAAATCTAAAATTAATTGCTGCTTACTACGTACCATTTAGAATTTCCATTTCACTTCACAAACTGTCCTGAAAGTTTTGCAAAACATGTTCCAAGTGGCTGTTCTCATGGAGAGGTCTGTATTTACTATCTGTATCAAAGCTACTTCCTTTCTTAGGTCACAATTAGCCACTGGCCCTGCTGACTCAGGAGAAGGCCAACTATATGAAGCCACTAGATTGCCTGTCTCTGAATGATTATCCAAATGCATCAGGGGAGGTTACAGACTACTTGCCTTGTTCATGCTGTTTATTTTGTTTTATAGCCTAGGACATAATGCTCTGGGAGATAATATTTAATGCTTTCTGGTCATTTCTTTATTGTTCCCTCCACCTTCCTCCAGTTGTTATTAACAATGAAATGGAAGAGAGTACAGTACAGAAGCTACTTTCATTCTCTCACCCCAAAAGAAATTTAATAGCAGCTTCAGGTGAAGCACATATGGTTTTAGATCAAGAAAAAGATACAGGTAGTCCTTGACTCAACTGGGACTAGAATTTTCATTGCTAAGCAAGGCAATTGTTAAATGAATCACACCCAATTTATGACTTTTCCCCATGGTTATTAAGTGAATCACTGCAGTTGTTAACTGAATCATTAAGCGATTCCAGCTTCCCCCATTGACTGCTTGTCGGAAGCCAGCTGGAATGGTGCAAATGGCGGTTGTGACCCTGGGACACTGAAACCATCTAAATGCATGCCAGGTGCCTAAATTTTGATCACATGACTATGTGGATGTTGTGACAGTCGTAAGGGCGAGGACCAGTTGTGAATCACTTTTTTCAGGGCCATTGTAACTTCGAACAGTCACTAAACAAATGATTGTAAGTTGAAGACTACCTATATGATTAGAGGGATAAAAAAGACCAGTTGCCCGATCTTCACATCAGTCTTGATAAATAGCTGGCTAAGGATAGAAATCCAAACAAACCCCAGAGAAACTGGAAATGTGAGGATCTGATCAGATTAGACCAAAGCAACACTCTGGACTATACCATTTTGACCTGCAAAGGAAGGTTCAGGGCTACCCAAGCCATTTTTTACTGCAAAATACAAAATCCAGTTAAGTCATTGATTCCAGATTTTGAAGTTGACTGAATAAGCAGTTGCATACAACTGTGTCTGCTCGTGCCCCTGAAAAAAAAGGTTAATTTAAGGGATGCAGCAAAGACAATGTTCCCTCAACACACACAAACACACACACACAGCTGCTGTTGCAACACATACAAACCCCCACACAAACATACATATTGCTGCTATTCCTTCTCCCTTCCATCCCATGTTGAACCAGATGCAACGCTGTGTGCAAAACAGGGCCAGTCCTGGTTTTCATTTTTTAAAAGAACTGAAAGACAAAAAAAAAGCAAAGAAAACCCCCAACAACAAAACCCAACCTTCTCCTACATAAAAAAAAAGTTCCCTTCAAACGGCAAACAGGGACACACAGAAATGGGTTAATTTATTACATATGGCTTTTTAAGATTTTTTTTAATTTTTTTTATTTATTACAGATTTAAGAAAAAGAAAAAAGGGGGTGTGTGAAATGGTGCCACTGTGCAATGCGTCAAATCATCTCTTGCTAACTTGTAGCACAATCTCCCGCCCGAAAAATCTCTCGCTCAAAGCAACCAGGGAAGAGGTTTTTTCAAGCCCGTAAAAGCAAAGGCTGTTTTCCACCCGAACTTTCTGTGCAGTAAAAGTTGACCTTTTCTCCAGCGCCAAAAGTGTAAATCTCTCTTTCCCCAGCCCCCGTTTCTGCCAGCAAATAGCCCCAAGATCAAAACAGCTCGCCCGTTGCCAAGTTCTCGCCTTCCTTTCCCGCCAAGGAGGACCAAAGGCTCTTATTGTCAATTCTCGGAGAACAAAATGAATATCAATCTTTGCGGAACCGAGGAATTCTCAGCCCGTTTCTGCAAAAGGCCTTGGCCGGGCTCCAGGCCGCGTAACCGCAACCCGATGTTTTCACTCCAAACTGGGAGGGGGAGCGAGGCTGGGTGGTCAGGGGGTCCCCTCGGGGGCGTGCGCACTAGGAAAACATCATTGCACCTCCGATAGATGTGCCCCGATCCAAGCCAGTCCAACTCTGCGTTTTGCCATTTGATGGGGTTTTTTGAGAGGTTTAAAAAGGGGAACTGCCACAAAGAAGAGGAGGTCAGGTTGTTCACCAGAGCACCAGAGGGAAGGACAAGAAACAATGGTTGGAAGCTGATCAAAGAGAGAAGCAACCTGGAATTAAGGAGAAACTTCCTGACAGTGAGGACAATCAACC